CCAAAAAAATGTCCTTCAGTGTAAGAAGATAACACATATCAGAGAGCATAATGTATACTTGATCCTACACCAGCCTAGCGGGCTGGACTAGAATCAGTGTTTCTCAACCTTTTTTTGCTCATGGCCCCCTTCTGAGCCTCGTATACCTCTGTGGCCCCCCTCATAGCCGCTGTTAGTTGGAAAAAAAGGTACATAATTTACCTAATGTTCTGTTTTTTCCATGTGGCCCCCTAGAGGTAGGGCGTGGCCCCTGGGGTGCCATATGGCCCACGGTTGAGAACCACTGGACTAGATGACCTTCCAAAGTCCCATTCAGTCCTACATTTCTACAATTCTATGGCTCCCTGAAACTATCCACTATTAATTCTTTTCAAGGTTCTCAGCTGAAAATAAAAAAGTCAGCTAACTGGCCTGAGTTCATGTTCCATTATGCTGTAAGATAACAAACAAGACAACTTCAGTTACGGTGCCGGCAAATCACCGATACCACTCACACAAACATTGATAGCACAATACATGTAGCATAGTGGAGGATGCAGTGTGCATCAGTGCATATCTTGGAAAGCCAAGTAGCATGCTACACCTTTCTCTGAATTGATAAGGCTAATGGAGATGCATCTAACATATGCAAAAGAAGCTCATACATTGTTGTTAGTGGCACGTAAATCAATATAGAAGTTTACTGTATATATTTACCTCAAAATTAAGGCAATGCAAATCAAAGGGAAAAATGGCTCCTACAAATACCGGTATGGGTCAGTGCTCTCTGAACACAAGAGGTGTACCATAACTACAGAGCTATTGTAGATGACATGACAATTGCTCTGGTAACTACGGTACATGTGTGTTGAGTAGCTGAGTAACTGACTGAACAGTCACCTTTTTTTCAAGTCACTTTCCCAGTGCAGAAACAAACTATCCATGATATCAGTTATATATTTCTGCCTAATTATATTAATATACTAATTAGATGCACTTTCCATCTAAAGCGATAGATTTCAAACAAGCAGGATTTTTATAAATTGTGCCATTAGGCAATTCTGCAAGTGGGATGGCAATCCACAGAGCATTATGTTGCATTGGTTTGTGTTGAGATTTTTCTTTCAGGTTAGTATCCACTTGGTGACACTCACAGCTTTGGGACAGCAAACACAAAGCTGGAAGTCTCCTATTGTGATATGGCTCAACTGCTGTTAGCAGAAGAGGAAAGCAAGCAAGCTACAAAAGGCACAGGTCCAAAGTAACAATAAAAAGTAGCATGCAGGTATGTATGAAGAATGAAGCTTCAGTAGCCACTGTACACACAGAGAGAGAAAAACATAGGAAGCTTCATATCTATACTTCTGTGGGTGCCACTATTACAAAAATATGTAGGCAGTTGCACACAGTTTGCATGCACAGTTCCTAAGATGCTAGTAGCCTTTTGGAAATTGGTCATTTGCATTTTCAAAACAGTGATTTGCATACCAGACCGTGGCAACTGCATATTGACAGTAGTCTACTGTATGCATAATTTTGTGCATAAAATAAGTGTTTGCGCAGTTATAAAAATCAGAGCCACTACACATAGCTCAAGCGCTACGGCCTCCCATTTAGACTGGCATATATTTCTGGTTTGTTTCTTATCCCTTAATAGTTCAGCTCCCCACTGATTCAATCTCACTATTATTTTAGAAATGTGCATTTGTCTGTCATTATTCCTTAATAGTTCAGCTCCCTACTGCTTTAATCTCACTATATTACTATTATTATATACGCTACATTTTAGAAATGTGCATTTTTCTGTCTGTGAGTCTGTTTGTACAAGAATTTCTTCTAAAAGGTCAGAGCTACGACCACCAAATTTGGTATGCAGTTTCCTCTTATCATAATTGAAAGCAAGGTCAGGGTTTGGTTCTGTCAGGGCAATGGGATGTGCCTGGAATGCGACTGTTTCTCATCAAAGGGAAAGGAAGAGGTGTGATAGCAGGGACAGTTATACTCACGACTGACCACAGGGAGGCAGAAAGCACCCCAGCCCTGAGGAGCAGCTGCTAACTATGCTGCGTGACCCCCGCCACTCCAGCCTGACCCAGGGGAGGAGCCATTGACTGTGCCACACAGCCCCCATCACCCTAAGCTGACTCTGGGGAGAAGCTGCTGTTATGGTTTTAAGGAGTGCATGGGATGTTTTTAGGGGAAAAGGCAATACACCCCGTTTATTAAGAATAAAATAGTAAAGTAGCTTGCATATGCTCACATAGACACACACACACACTTGTTGATGTTATAGTTAACAGACTAGGGTCTGGATTGCTCTGGTAGCCAGAAAGATTGATCACGAGTAGGGAAGAGCATGGCTCTATTGTTCCAGACTGATGCTTTGGGATCTCGGCAAGATGTGCCCTTAAATAACCTTTTCCTTCAGATTAATGGCTGCATATTTAATCCATCACTTTCCTTCATTACAACTGAGCTTCCCTGAGAGAACAAAATATGTTCTTCCTCGCACACGGTGTCTAATTCCCCAAGAAGGGGGGCGTGCACTAAAGAAATCCTTTGTTCCAGCATTACCACTGAGCTTCCCTCAGAGAACCAAATATGTTCTTCCTCGCCCACGGTGTCTAATTCCCCAAGAAGGGGTGCGTGCACTAAAGAAATCCTTTGTTCCAAAGGGATTTTTCAGCACTCATATTTGTTTCCCTTTTTGGTGAAGGCATGTGTCAAAATGTGCAGCGTGGGGAAGAGGAGGGTGCAGACTCCACCGGCCAACTTCTCCCCAGGGCCGGCTGCACAGCTTCTCCTTGGGGCTAGCCTGAGGCGAGCAGGGATTGTGCAGCTCAGCTGGTGGATGCTCACCAAGGCAAGCCAGGGTGGCGTGGGCCGTGCTGCTGGCCAGTGGCTGTTACCCAGGGCTAAGGTGCTTGCTGGTCCCCCTGTGGTCATTCGTGAGTATAACTGTCCCTGCTATCACTCCCCTTCCTTTCCATTTGATGGGAAACAATCGTATTCCACACACATTCCATTGTCCTGATACAGGCTAACCCTGATCTTGGTTTAAGTTAGGATAAGAGGAAGCTGCCTACCAAATTTGGTGGTCCTAGCTCTTATTGTTTAGGAGCTGTTCTTGAACAAATGGACAGACAGACAGATGGGCACAGAGACAGACAGATGCACAAACTTTCTTAGATATCTGGCTGATCTGCACCATGGCACTAAGTCATATTATCTGTAATTGTCCATTATAGGACATTTTACGCCCTCTTCTGTGACCTTTGGTACTGGCCACCACCAAAGACCAGATATTGCACTGGCAAGACCTCTATGCTGATTTGGTAGCAATTTCTGCATTTCTACATCACTAGAAGCTGGATGCTCTGGACAGAGATGTTGAGTGATGTTCTCTAGGCTGTCACAGTGGAGAAATACTGGAGGGAGGAAAACTGGAGAGAGAACCCTAAAACATTATCATCATTCTACAGTGATACTTTGTACCATCAACTGCAACAGTTGGATTATGAACTTAGCTTCCATAGCAGGACACAAGTTAGGACAACTGTTCCCCATAAAATATACACAGTCATCAACATTTCAAAAAAATCTGGATCTTGAAAGTAAAACATTGTCAGACTCTTCACATCCAAAGCTGTAATGCTATTTAGAACCTTTGATGTGGCAACAGTAAAAAAAAATGGAGCATTAGTTCATGACTGACATGATGAAAGTTTGCAAATTAAAAATTGAATAGTTGGACAATGCACATGTCAATAACCTGGCAGGATCTCGCAACATGGATGTAGACACTTAGGGTACGTCTACACTACATGCCTCTGTCGGCAGAGGCATGTAGATTTGTTTATTCAGCAAAGGTAAATGAAGCCGCGATTTAAATGATCGCGGCTTCATTTACATTTACATGGCTGCCGCGCTGAGCCGACAAAGAGCTGATCAGCTGTTTGTCTGCTCAGTGCGCTAGTCTGGACGCTCCCCTGCTGGAATCCAAACCCTTTGTTC